GTTATTAAAAGAGAGTCAACTATTAACTTTCTAGGAGTGATATTAGATGAAAATATATCATGGAAATATCATATTAGATCTATTGAAAATAAAATCTCCAAAAATATTTCAATGCTATATAAAGTTAAACCTTTTCTTAATACGGAATCTTTAAAAATTATATATTTCTCATTTATTCATAGTTACCTTTCCTATTGTAATCTTGCATGGGCAAGTACCAATTATGGGAAGCTCAAAAAAATTTATAGCAAACAAAAACATGCTTGTAGGATTATTTTTGGCGTTAACAGAACTGTTAATGGTGAATCTCTTTTAAAGAAACTTAATGTGCTTAATATTTACAAACTTAATATATACCAAGTTATCCTATTTACGTTTAAAACAAAACATGCGTTATCTCCTAATATATTTCAGTCTTACTTTACCGAAATATCTCATAAATATCCCACTAAATTTTCATCTGATAATTTTGTTATTCCAAGATCTTATTTAAAACTCAATTCATTTCAAATTCAATACCGGGGACCATTTATATGGAAAGGTTTTTTAAAAAATATAATTAAAAATAAAATTCTTCGAGGCATCTCCTTAGAACAATTCAAAAGAGAATCTAAACGTTTTCTATTAGAAAAAACTTTCGATTTTAAAGATTTCTTCTAAAATCACCAAAAATAATTAAACCTGAAAAAGTCATCACTACTCATTTACTATTGTCTTATGTATCTTGTTTATTTCTTATTAAAATAAAAAATATATATACTATTAATTTTGAACAGACAAATAACATTTATTCGATTTATTACTTGTGTCTTATATTTGTCGAACTAATATTGTATTGTACTTCAATTTTTAACCTTTTAGTTTTTAACTTGTAACTTTGTGACGTTAATGTAAACGGGGCTTGGCGATAAGACAGTTTATGTCTTCTTCTTGCTCCGGCCAATTTTTATACATGAATGGTTTTTTCTCATTGTAAATTTAATTATACGGCAAAGAAAATATAATAATAATAAATAATAATAATAAAAATTGCTCAACACTTTTGAATAATACGAGGGCAAAAATCTACGCTTTCCTTTATTAATAGGAAACTCGAATTCTTTAATTTGATGGGGACCCCTCTCAACCAGTAGTTGACGAGTTTGAGATGACATTCAGAAAGTAAGCCATAATGCAGGATCTGAAGGAATTTCTTTTAATACCTGCTGACTGCCACTGCTAATGCGGCCCGGTTCTTGATGAACTTCTGATGATGTTATTTTTTGGATCTCTTCAACAATTTTTTCTGGAATTGATTGGGGCGGCACTGTTTTTTTTTTGCCAAATCCAGGGCAGTCGCAGTTGACGTGGATGTGCTGCCCGGCTGTTCATGAAGTTCTGACGGTGTTAGTATTTGGCTCTCTTCAACAACTTTTTCTGGAAGTGATTGGGGCGGCACTGTGTTGTTATTTGCCAAATCAGTTGCTGCTGATGTGGATGGCTCATCTAAACCGCACTTTTGTACTAAGAATTTCTTCATAACATTGCTGAGCTTTCTTTCTTGTTCCTCATTCATTAAGCGTTTCTTTTTGTATTGACTTCCAGATAATTTTTTTCTTTTTTGTTCCATGCTGACGATTGCTGTCACTGCTGTAATAAATTTTTGTAAAAATTTTGTAAAATCTTTGTAATGTCATCATGTTTTTAACAGTTAAAAACATGATGACATTACAAAGTTAAAATTTAACTTGCAAAGAAGGCAAACACAAACGTTTAAAAACGTTTGAAAACAGTATTTTGAAACATAATAAGAAAATAGTCCACGCTAATATGCGTTTCAAAACGTTTTTATTCATATTGAAAGGAATAGCAAAAGCGAATGCTAAATGAGGGAGAAATTTTTTTTTTATTTTTATAGAAAAATGTGGACAATGAAAAAACTTGTGCGAAAACTTGTGAAACTTGTGAACTTATGAAAAAAAAAAAGTGATAAAAACATTCACGAGTTTGGTAGTAATTAAAATTTAAATGAGTCCAGTTTATGATTTAGTACCTAATTATTATTGCAACCCTGAAATTGCATTTTGATTTCGCTACTTTGCCGCCCCTTAATGGTGCCGCCTGAGGCGGCCGCCTCTTTGTATCATAGCACCGCACGGCCCTGACTGGGAAATAGAATTTAAATAAAATAGTTTGGAAATAGCCGAATACTTTTTTTTACCTTTAATTTTTCTCAGCCTTTATTATCTTTAATACCGTCCATAAGGTGGTACAAATACCGTTCTTAAAGTGGTACAAACACCGTCCTTAAGGTGGTACAAACTCATAACATAAAATTCAGAACAAGACAATATACAACTTTTCTAATATGTTTTTATTCAAAGTATAATATTTTGAAAAAATTTAGTTTAAAAAGTAGTTTATCACTGAAAAAAAAAAGGTATTTTGGTAGCATTTTGTAAACAAAATATCTAAAAAACTGAAATAGATTTGAAATTTCACCAGTTCATTATGCAAAAAAGTTCAAATGACATTGATATTTTCTATTCATTAGTGGTATTTTCCATTAGAAATGTTGTTAAAAGTTCCATAAAATCACACCTTTTTGTTAAAAAACATCAGTTTTAGTTCAACTTCTGCCATTATAAAAAAAATATATACTGCGAATAAATAAGTTTCAACACAAAAACACAAAAATGAAATTAAACTGACAAAAATTCTGTGAATTCATTAATACAAACCTGAAAATAAGCATGAGTTCATTAATATGCAAAACACAAGCCTGCAAATACGAGCCTGTAAATACAAGCCTGCAAATACAAACCTGTAAATACAAGCCTGCAAATAAGTATTAGTCTCTTCATTTGTATTCTCTATAAGTTGAAATCTTTTTCTAGTGCTAGTTCTTCGAACATTTACTTCTTTAGTTGATGACCATCTATAAATATTCTTTATGCGCTCTACATAACGTTCTCTAAATGCATTTCGCATAAACGGTGAAACTGTCAATCCAAGTTTTTGTACTATTGGTCTTAAACCAGATGTACTATCATTTAATTCAATAACTCCGAAACAAATACCAATTTCAAACAATTTTTATGATGAAAACATCTTCTTAGGATATTTAGTGAGCTACGTCTTCACTAAATATCCTAAGAAGATATCCGCCATAAATCATCAACAGAAACTGCACAGGTTATTGTTTCTTTGCTTTTCTGCTTCCTTATTTTTGCTGTTTACATGGTTCCTTTAGTCATAAATGCTTAACAAACACTAGTATATATACCATGCATGTTTGTGAAAAAATAGAAAGTAGCAAAAAAATTGCAAATAATGAAGTAAATGATTTAATATATGAACTCTTTTTTTAAATTTCTATAAATGCATTCACTATTTGAACATAAGTAATGTTTTTGGTATTGTGTTTGTTTTATATATAAGCAATAGGACACTTGTAAGATTTGAATGTTTGATGCTATTGAAAATAACTTCAAATACATGATATGTGTAGTTCTAGACTAAACCTTTGTTGCTTAACTTCATTATTTTTAAAATTAACATTATTTTCGCAGTCAGAGCAACTGCCTTTCTCCTTTTTTAAAAATGTTAATAAACCAGCATTATTTGTAATTATATGATCATCAAAATTGTTTGTAATGCTATAATCATCTTTATCTTCAAGAATAATTTGGTCGAGTTTTATTTTTCCTGATTAAAGTTACTTGTTTACAGTAAGGAACAAGATGCTAATTTGTGTTAAATCATCTTTTTTATTTGAGTGTGTGTGTACTGACTACAAGCAAAAAATCTTTATTTGAATATGTGTGTACTGACTACAAGCGAAAAATTTTTATTTGGTTCCAGAATAAGTTTTCAACTCTTTAACTAGTTTTTTTAACTATTTATTTATCTAAATGCTTTTATTACAAAAGTGTTTTAGTCACATATAAACTAGAGAGCTGAACGGGGAAGGAATTGTCCCCTACCCATACCTGCAGAAATCAAAGCCTTTCCCACCCATCCTCGCAAGCATACCTTTCCATCCCTACCTTTTGGTTCTTTTGGCAATTGTTACAATTTCTTTAGAAGCTTTAATCATGTTTCTGATTTCCACTGATAGGCAGCAATTATCAGAATTACTTTTAGCCAACTTGTGGAACAAGGCGAGATTAAGGTTGTGACTTGAACATCCTAGATTAAGGTTGTGACTAGAACTACCCGTAACATAAATGTTTTCTGGTCGCTAAGCATTAATTTTATTTAAGATTCTCTTTACTGTCTCCTTAATAATCTCAGCAGTAGAGCGATTTTTATCTAGTGTGAGTGGCTAACAGATTTTTCAAACAGCCATAAACTGAACTGTTTTACCGCGAAACCCATACCCATAAACTGAACTGTTTTACCACGAAAATCTTTACCGCGAAACCAATACCCATGCTGCTCTATAATATAAACAAAGCATAGATTTGCAATAAAAACAGTTACGCAAGACTCATACCGAACTAAATTGTGAATTGAAAGTGTGACTAATAAATTTAAGTTAACATGCAGCTGATCGGTTCATCATTGTTAAAACTTGGTCAAAGTTAATGAGATGGTTGCTTAGGACGTTTTTCTGTTAAAAATATTTAAAAAAATATTCTTAAAATTCACGAGTAGTTATCAAAATTAAATCTTTAGAATCGAAATTTGGCGCGAATATAGTTTTAGAATTTGGTTTAAATTAGACTTCAAACCAAATTCTAAAAAACTAAATTAACTTTATTATTAATGCGTTATTTTTTAAAAAGTATTTTTAAATGAAACGTTTTTTTTTTAATTTTGGTTTTAATGTCTTGAAAATATCAGTAATATGCTTGTTGTGCTGATTCCCTTGTTTTGCTGCACCACAATTTATAGATATAAATTTAATTATAAATAATCCTACTTTTATAACTACGCAATTGCAAATTAATTATTTATTTAAAAATCAAAAAACGGCAACATCGAAAAGCTGACGCTAAAGTAACAACTTCGATAAATATAAAACTTGCTATTTTCCTATACTAAAATAATAGATTTAACCTCAATATACTCAATATATAAAAAAAAATCAAAAATAAATCATCCAAAAAAAAAAAAAAAAGTTTTTATATTAATATTTGATTTACAAATTATTATAATGAATTTATATATATATTATTCGATACTTCAGTGCTATAATTCATTAGGTCCAACAACGCAAATTTTTTTAAAGCAACACAAAAAAAAAGCTAATAGGTTAAAATTAGAAGTTTTAAATATATAAGAAATAAATATTTGTAACAAGCAACATGTTTTTTTTTTTGCTTTTCGCTAAAAAATATTTTTTTATCAACACAAATATCAAAACTTGTGATTTGGAGCTTATCTTATAGCATTGAAGTAAAAAGATTCTATGTTACATTTTAACATCTACTAATCATACATAAATAGAATGTTTTATAAAGTTAACGTATCTATAGTTCGGATAGTTCCTGAATGGTGGCATCTAACTCTGCCTTCGCCCTTGTGTATTCATCTTTAGCAGCTTGTAAGACACCTAAGATTAAAAAGTATTACATAAACAACAACAACAACAACAACAAATGATAGTTACAGTAACATTTAAATAAATTTCATAAATGTTTGTAAATGTTAAGACAAAATCACCTTCTAGCTCAGTCATTTTTAACTCGAGGTCTTCTTCTCGTGCTGCAGTTCTTCGAACCCTTTCTTCTATCTGTGATGAAAAAATGTTTTAAATAGAAAGTAATCCCAATTAATCGAGTCACAAACATTGTTAATTAAAAGTATTAAAACCTACTATTAAAAAAAAAAAAAATGTAAAAAATATTAAAACTTTAGTCGTATCGCATTAAGAATTACGTCTTAACAACTCCCCCCCCCCTCATACTATGTCAATATAAAAAAAGAAGATACACCTAAGTGCCAATTTTTGTCAATATATAAAAAACAAGATATGTTAAAGCGTTATATTGTGCCAATAAATATTTTTTGTGCCAATAAAACTTCTCAAGCTTATTCAGCAATATTTTCACAAGTTTTTTTCATTGCTAAAAACAAATTTTTTAACAATTACTGATATTAACCAATCAAAACGTTTTACTTCAAAGTTTGTCCTGTTAACAGATTTTTTCTTTTACATATGGAAACATATTTTTAAAACAGAATTCGTACTTAGAATGATCTATTTCTTATTTATCAAAATAAATAAAACATAGAGCATCTACTAAAATCATCCTATTTCTTCCACTATGTTCCATAGCTTGCTGTCAAGACTTGCATTAAATAAATTCCTGCCTAGGATGAAGCTGGATCTACTTGTTTTGCTAACGGCTTGGCAACTCTTTCTGTTATCTCATAACATATGGTACAGTACTAATGTAAGGTATAGCTTTAAACCTTAATTTAATTGTTCTAAGGCGAGTAATTGAAGGATTTTCTGAACTCTGGTAGTTCTTAGAAAAGCTGACTTCATCAATAGCTTTAAAATATCTAAGTATGTCAGTGTCATGTTGTTATTGTTTTTACCAATCACATTATGGAGGCCACATGATGAGCCTTTTGTTACAACTTTGGGTTTATTAAAAGTAATAATGAAACTGTATAGTTTCATTAAACTATTGCTTGTGCCAAGTATTATCTATATTTAACGTTTTGCTTCTCTGCAAAAAAATGTGCATTTGATGTAATCTGTTACATTTAGACAATCATAGAAACTTTTATTCCCTAATTTTCTTGAAAAATTCTTTTTTTTTTTTCTCTAAACATTTCATTTTGCAGTGTTAAAATTGTCCTTGGCTAATAATGTTTCCAGAAATTTCTGGGATACCACAATCCCAGAAATTTTTACTTAACATCTTCTGAGACCATCTTTCACTACTAACTTATCATGAAAACCATTGACCCAATCCACTGCAAATCCAAATTATGACACATTGTCAAAAGGTTGCATTTCTTTTTCTTCACTACAAATGAAATGGCTAATGGTCTAAAATGCTAAAGCTATTATTTCTTATTTTACTGTAAAATTTTACTAAAACTTTATTTTACTAAATTTCAACTTCTTATTTTACTAAAACTTCATCAATGTAAGCACATAAGTAAGCCTTATAAATTAAACAATCAAAAAAAATCTACAAATTTAGATCTGCCTTAAACTCATTTATTTTTTGTCATACTTCTCATTTATAACTAGACACTAGGTGGTTCAAAAAACAACATATTTGAAATATGTCTGCAGCTCTCACCTTAATGTATTCTATATGATAAAATAACACTGGATTTTTCGAAAAAAAAATTTAAGTTTTATTTTAAAGTGATTTTGCCTCAAGACCCTTGAACATTTAATGGATCTCTAATAATAATTTATAAAATAATTAAAAACTTATTTTTTTCAAAAGTATGCCTTGTTGGGTCTCAAATGAAGCGAAATTTTTTATATTTTATATTTTTGAAATTTTATAAAAATTTCAAAAATAATTATTATTTTTAAAAATATTTTAGATTTTACTGCCTAGAAAATGACATTTTTTGACTAAAATAAAAAAATATGCGCTTTTACAAAGTTTTTTAGTTATAATTTTTAAATGTTTTTTTAATAAAATTTTTGAAACTTTTATAAAATTTTGCTACTTTAGAGACCCAACTTTTGAAAAGAGTTTTTATTAATATTAGGAACCCATTAAATGTCAATTATAAAATGAACTTACCTCTTCAAGTTTTACATGCATTTTTTCCAACTTTTCATCTGATGATTCCATTCTAACTGTTGCTTTACTTTCATTAATTTTTGAACTCCTCAGCATGTTGCCGATTTGAATCATCTCTGGTTCTAATTCCCTGACACGACTATAAAAGACAACAAAATAATTAGTAAGTGAATTTATCAAAAATATCAAACTAAGATAATGCATTCAAAAAAATTTTTCAAAAGATTAAATGTATGCGAAACATTAAAACAACAAATAAATTTTTTAGAGTACAAAAGATAATAGACACTTTTCAAAACACATATATAATAATACATGCACAATTTTCAAAAACATAAAATAGATAACACAAATACTTTATAAAATTTAAAATCATCAAATCAATTAGAAAATTAAATAATTATTAAAATTATATAAAATTAATAATCAATTAACAAATAATTAATAATAAGAAAATTAATAATTTTAAAACATCATACTGATCAAGATCAGCACATCTTTCTTCTTCGATGTCTTGTTTTGTTTCCAAGTCAGCTATTTCTTTAGTAACCTATAGATCAAAGAGTAAAAGGAACCATAAAGAGAAACCATATGAGTGGGTCAGAAGCCAAGGGGTACAAGTGACAATTTTACCAAAATTAAGTTAAGTATAGAATTTGATAGAAGAAGCAAACAAAATTGTTGGTGGTCAAGGGATACAAGTGAATCTCTGCCCTGTGCTGCTTTCTACTGGAAAAATATAACAACAACTGAGTATATTTAACAAAAATACTTTAACTTTAAACAGCTGTATCTCAAAACTATGAAAATGTCACTTGTACCCCTTGGCTTCTGACCCACTTATATCAGTATTGAAAATAAACAAGTTTGAACCAAAATCAACCCAATTAACTTATTCACAAAAAATGCGCAAAACTAATAAATTCAAAGGCATAACTGACTTTTTCTAATTTTGCTGTAACTTTTTCATTTTTGGCAAGTAACTCGCTTAATTCTCGCTCTAGACGCTGTAACTGACTGCTTCCTGCATTACCACGATGTTCTAATTCCCTTTTGACTCTTAAACCTTCATCTTGGTTTTTTTCTGCTTCAGCAAGACTAAGCTTCAATAGTTTTTCTCTCTCATCAGCCTCATCAAGTTTATCTTCAATGGTAGTTTTTAACTTTATTAATTCTTCAAGTTTTTCTTCAACCTTAATATTAAAAAAGCTATTAAAAATCAATAAAAAACAAAACAAGAAGCAACTTAAAATATATCATCACAGGCTTGGCCAGGAAGACATGCGTGGTCATATTATGATGTGAAATCTCACACCTTCCTGGCCAAACCTGTCATCATCATCATTTTAAAAAATTAATATTTCAAATCAATACATCTAAACAGTGATAAGCAGAAATATATTTTGTCCATATATGGACAACATTCAAAAGATAGGAACCAACCAACAATTTGTCATATCACAAAATAGTAAAGCCTTTAAACTCAAAACAAGATTTATCATGTTTATCAAAAAGAAACCAACTGCAATATCCACTGCTTATGTGTTATAATACAGCTTTAAAATGATGATTTTATGTGACTTTCAGTTGTAAAAAATTTTTAAATTTCATTATTTCAGTTAGAGATCTTTGTAGTTAGTTCCTTTATGTTGAATGTTGTCCATATTAGGTCACATGATTTGTTGTAAAATA